GGACAGGGTGACTGTAATACTGCTCTGTGAGACAGTCAGAGGACAGGGTGACTGTAATACTTCTCTGTGAGACGGTCAGAGGACAGGGTGACTGTAATACTGCTCTGTGAGACAGTCAGAGGACAGGGTGACTGTAATACTGCTCTGTGAGACAGTCAGAGGACAGGGTGACTGTAATACTGCTCTGTGGGACAGTCAGAGGACAGGGTGACTGTAATACTGCTCTGTGTGAGACAGTCAGAGGACAGGGTGACCATAATACTGCTCTGTGTGGGACAGTCAGAGGACAGGGTGACCGTAATACTGCTCTGTGAGACAGTCAGAGGACAGGGTGACCGTAATACTGCTCTCTGTGAGACAGTCAGAGGACAGGGTGACCGTAATACTGCTCTGTGTGGGACAGTCAGAGGACAGGGTGACTGTAATACTGCTCTGTGAGACAGTCAGAGGACAGGGTGACCATAATACTGCTCTCTGTGAGACAGTCAGAGGACAGGGTGACTGTAATACTGCTCTGTGGGACAGTCAGAGGACAGGGTGACTGTAATACTGCTCTGTGTGAGACAGTCAGAGGACAGGGTGACCNTGTGAGACAGTCAGAGGACAGGGTGACCATAATACTGCTCTCTGTGAGACAGTCAGAGGACAGGGTGACTGTAATACTGCTCTGTGAAACAGTCAGAGGACAGGGTGACCATAATACTGCTCTCTGTGAGAAGGTCAGAAGGATCCTTTGGTATTTGAGACTTTTGCTTTGTGTTTTTCTCTCAACATTAATAATTTGTATGGAAAATACACTCATGCTGTGTGGCTAGCCAGCTCATCTCTGTCTTTCTTTCTTTTCTTTCTGTATTTGTTTATAAATAATCCACAAGTTTTGCATATGCCCTTTCAGAGTGACATCCTAAGGACATTCACTGAAGGACCTCAGCTTCTGTATTACACTCCAAAGCAGAGGCTGTCTATCACTGTTCCTGCTTTTTTGTCCACTCCTGTACCACAATCCAGAGCAGAGGTTGTCTATCCCGATGCCTACTTCCCTCTCAGCTTCTGTACCACAGTCCAGAGCAGAGGCTGTCTATCACATTGCCTGCTTCCCTCTCAGTTTCTGTACCACACTCCAGAGTAGAGGCTGTCTATCACATTGCCTGCTTTCCTCTCAGCTTCTGTACCACAGTCCAGAGCAGAGGCTGTCTATCATGTTGCCTGCTTTCCTCTCAGCTGCTCTGACTGATATCACCCACCCCTCGGATTCTAAGGAACCTTTTCAGTTTGCTTTTAAAACTGTCTTCTCTCTCATCCTTTTGATTTTTTTAAATGAATGCTCATTTCCTTAGCAAATGCAAGCAGGTAATAGCATATATAAAATATAAATCTGTACTTCAAGCAGTCATCTAAAATGTATTATAGACACCTTCATAATGCATTACAAAGCATCTGTATTGCATTATTTTGGTCTGTATAAGAATTTGTAAAGCATTACAGCACCAAACATCCTTAATTCTTATACCGACCATTGTAATGAATTATGGATGCTTTATTGTAATGTATTACGAAGGTGTTTATAATGCATTACTGATGACATCTTACATGAAGTATTATAATATAATGCCATATGACTGTCACCAGTAGATGCTGTAATGCTTTATTAATTCTTATACCGACCATAATATTGCGTTATGTTTTGCAATGCATTATTAAGGCGTGTATAATACATTATAGATTAGAGCTACAAGTAGGGCTGTTGATTAGTCGACGTAGTCGATGACGTCGACGCTGAAAATGCGTCGAAATCAATTATTTAAAACTACGTATCATTTTTAGTATTTTAATGAATTACCATTATGAATTCTAAAACGCTTCAGTTCATTACAACAAGTGTTTTCCTTTAATATTACTACGCTATTATCGGAGTAGTTCAAATTATCACAAAACAAAAAGGTGGTTTTACATTGTGCGAAGTTCGGTGGCATATAGCCGCTATTCTGGACCGCCAGAATAAGTAAACCAATCTAAGTGTTGTCTATTCATGTTCATTAAATTACCATTAGTACGGAGAGCTGTTTAATATTTTTTGTCTGCTAAATACACTCATTATTATTAAAGCCATAAATTTGTCTGCCTGCTTCCATAGAATCTCCGTGGAATAAGTGTTTGAGGAAACATTTAGGCTAAAATCTGGGCTTATTCTATGTTGATTGACGGTGCCGGTGTGTATTCGTGAACATTGGACTTGTTGGTACCAGTGTTATCGTAAACTAAAACTGAAATGGAAATGAACAGTACCAAACAAAAGAAAACAACTCGTGAACTGATATAAAAATGAAAACAGTTTTTATTTACAAAAAAAACCCGAGACAGACTATATACAGTGGTACCTCAGTTCTCGGACTCAATGGAACTCGAACCAACCAGTTCGAAATTTTTTTTACCTAGAGCTCGATCTGAATCTCAGATGTCAAACCGTGAACGCCGACCTAAGATAACTTGTACGTTGGGAAATGAGTCACGTGGCACGTCTCTCAGCGGAAACAAAGGGTAAAACTTGAGTCTCAGCCTCGCATTCGCTGTGATAGCATCGTGCATGTTTACACTAGCTGAATACATATATTTAGACAGTAAAAATACATTTAGGAAATGATAGACAGTAACAGTAATTATTATTATATACTAAAATACATGTAAAAATAAAGGTTTCTTATTCATTATTTTAATATTAATAATAAACCATTAATACGTTTAATTATAATAATATTGTCGTGCTGAGTGGGGATGGAACGGAGACAAAGGCGCAGACGTCAGGGTATCGGGGAATACGGGGTTTAATTACAGGTAAGGCAGGCAAAACGCAGACGGACAATACAATGACTAGACTGGGGAAACAAACTGAAACGCGGACGAAATACAGATGGCTAAAGAAAACAACTACAAACAGCTGATCACACAGGGACCCCACATGAGGTTAACGAGGGGGCGTGGCACCCGGAAGGAGCGGAGGATCGGGGCAGGACACATTGTTTGGATACATTTATTTTCTTACTTTACAAATTACTTTTTTGATAAATGTGCTTAGATGTGTTTAGTACAGTATATGCTCTTCTTGTTTTATCCAGTTCATTTTGTATTTAAATGCTAAAAAAAAACACATTTAGGTGTAATTTTTTTGGGGGCCAGGAACCAATTAATTGGTTTTCCATTATTTCTTATGGGGAAAATTCGATCACAACTCGAACTTTTTAGAATTTGATCCGGAGTTCTGAACGGATTAAATTCGAGTTCTGAGGTACCACTGTATATAATCAGCAGAAAGCAGCACCACACCATCAACATCTATTTTCCTTGTTTATCCACAATATCTCCTCTTTTAAAAGATGTTGTGGTTGCTGAGCTGTCCCTTTCTAGTCGCTGTCTGAATAGTGCCGAAGAGCATTCATAAAACGTTATAAACATGGGTATAAATATTTATCAAAAGGCATAACTCATTATAGTCATATGCATCATGCATTACGAATGATTTATGAAGCTCTCATCTATAATGCACTATAGACACCTTTATAATGCATTATAATGGATGGTATAAGCATTAAGGGTGTTTTATCCTGCATTATAAAAGTGTATATAGTGCATTATAGATGACAGATTCATAAGGTAGTCATAATGCATAATAAACATGGCTATAATGTGTTATGCCTTTTTATAAATGTTCATAGCCATGTTTATAATGCATTATGAATGCATAATAATGCATTATGAACGTGTTTATCAATTACTAAAAACATGGCCTTAAGTAGAGTTACCTTTGCTTTTCTGAGCTTTTATAGTGCTCTTCACTGGGCATCAACAGGCACCCATTAGCCTAAAGGTTTCTTTATCATTCTTTGTCCTTTGCCACCCCCATCCTCTCTATAATTTTAGTGTTTCACTTCCATTTCCTGTAGCCGCAGTCTGGCCCTGTAGATAGGACAGATCCCCAGACCTACATACCATCTCCATACTTAACCCTCATCCTTCCACTTTGGTCCACACAGCATCCTAGTCTCATGTGCTTCTCTCTTTTTATTTGATTTTTGCAGCGGAATATTGTACAGTTCACTGAGGAACGTGGGGAGAATCTTGCTGGTTTCAGGTGAGTCCTTCTCCTTGCGCTCGGTACCATGTGCAGTGCAGGTAGCATTTGACCCCTGAACTGAGTCATCTCTCTCCACATAGGCTGTCATCAATGGACCCAGACTTTATCAACCAAAACCAGCTGGATCCCGACTGGCCCCCCAGGCCGGTCTCACTCTTGCCTGACCCAGTCAGCCCCATGCCCCCCAGGGCCACCAGAAACCTGGGCTGGCCAACAGCCACGCATGCTGACCATGAGTCCACTGACACTAGCTGTACAACTCCACCCACTGATCATGTGACCACACCTCCTGAGATCATATGGACTGATCTGACAATGCACACTTTGAGAGCACCTTTCTTTGTTCCAGTTAGGGACACCTCTGCCCCTACACCAAACCTTATTCCTGCCCCAGTCCCTATTCCAGTTAGGGACACCTCTGCCCCTACACCAAACCTTATTCCTGCCCCAGTCCCTATTCCAGTTAGGGACACCTCTGCCCCAGTCCCTATTCCAGTTAGAGACACCACTGCCCCAGTCCCTATTCCAGTTAGGGCCACCTCTACCATTGCCCCAGTCCCTATCCCAATTAGGGACACCCCTGCCCCAGTTCCTATTCCAGTTAGAGGTACCCCAGCCCCTGCCCCAGTCCCTTTTCCAATTAGGGACACCCCTGCCCCAGTTCCTATTCCAGTTAGAGGTACCCCAGCCCCTGCCCCAGTCCCTTTTCCAATTAGGGAC